CGTGCGAGCGCGTTTATTAATCTCGCGCGGCGATACGTCATTCGAGCGTTCGCCTCGGCCGGCCGTGCCGCGAGCGAGACAGAAACGGTTCTTCCTTCTTCTACTTCTTCTTCTCTGATTTGAAACCGCGAACGTGCGCGACGCGCTTCGCCCGTTCGTCCGCTCGATATTTCACGAGGATCGCACACGGGAAGTGTGCGCGAAACGCGCTCTCTGTCGCTGTCGACGTGCGAGAGAGCCGCGGGACACGTGTCGCGCGCGAGGCAGATGCGACGAGGAGGGGTCGTCGACTTCCGCGGCGGAAGGGGAGCTCGCACGCCGCGAGATCGGACTAATTCGCGCGAATCGAGACTGCTGGCGGCGACGCGACGCGACGCGACGCGACCGGCGACTTTCCACGCTGACAACGCGCAACCAACGGAAATGTAACAATTGCCTGCTGCACTCGGGCCGAATCTTTCGCGTTTGCGCGCCAACGCGATATTGTTATTACGCGCGTACGTTCAATCGCAATCGGTTGAGTAAAAGTTGTTGAATTACGCCATGGACGTAAGAGGGTGAATGTTTCTTTCTTCTTCTCCGTGGATTACATCACATTCGCTGTTGTTGAGTCGTCGAGTGAACACGTTCACTCGACGATTCAACGCGGATAATTTATTCTGTATGAATGAAAAGTCGCCCGGCTATTATTTCGCTTTGGAGTTTCACTCTAGCTAATTTTTAGCGCGCACATCACAAAGGATTCCGCCATTATGTGCGGCGGAAGAAAAAATAGCAGAGGTAGCACGTAGTCTCGGAGGCCACGTGCCACAAAATGAAGGATGCGTAAAAAGTGGACGAAATTAAAATGTCGGTTAAACATGAAAATGTAAAAACGTACTTTCTATTTTCCCTATGTGTGTTTAATTTCGCAAAATAATATTCATTCATACTAATAGCTGTCGTCTGTCACTCTCTCTCTCTCTCTCTCTCTCTCTCTCTCTCTCTCTCTCTCTCGCGCGCGCGCGCACCTCTTTCCACCATTGGTCCAAAGTTTTTAATGTCGCAGACGGACTATCTTGCCAGTATATAAACTATACTTGATCACGTGCAACGATGCAGACTACCTTCTTTCGTACCTATCTACGTCTACGCAAAATATTTCCCGTGCATAGATTTAGCAGCTGCACGGAAAGACGGGAAACTGTAAAACATCAAAGTGGGTCTTGCTTGTCTTAAAAGTTTGGGATTTCTGATCCGAATTCTAGTCACAGAGTATAAGGAGTAAAAGTCATTGTTTCTATTGTATCCTTTTTGTGAAAAGAAAAAATTCTTTTATATACAAATTCTTTTGTATATAAGATTTCTTGCGTTTCAAAGGATTTGTATGGTTCGCTAGATTTTGATATTTTTGCTGGTTCGAAGAGAAAGTTGCGAGAAACGGTGAGGAGATTCAGCCGCTTTAGCTGTAACTCTCCGTAAAAAAATTTGAAGAAAAATTTTTTCTTCGTAAAAGAAAATCGAGGTCGCCTTGAATTTTTTTAACGACGCTATGCCATTTCTTTGCACAATATGACAAGAGACTTTGAGAAGAATTAAACTGTGTCTTGACACAGCCGTGTTGTGCACACAGAATGGGTTTCCTGAACTCAAGAGAAAAACCACGTACATTCTGCAAATCTCACGATACTTGTGCGTGAAGAATCAGCTACACGGTACACAATGTCAAGGGCGGCAGGAGGGGATGGGAGACGATTCAAAAAGACTGCAAAAGAGCGATCACGCTCTCCTCGTGCCGACCGAAGTTGTAGAAAACCCTCCCCGAAACTAGCGGCAGACCTAATACAACCTCATGCGAAGACCTGAGTTAGTTACAGTTTCCCGAAACATACATACGCCTTGCTAAAATCCTGAGAATTCTCAAGAATATCGGGAAACAAACTGGCTGGGTGGAAGGAGTCGTGTGAGTCAAGGGTAGAGGAGAGAGAGGGGAAGATCGTTGGTCCGAGCGAGGCGGGTTAGCGCTCATCGCACGGCTGAAAAAAGCGGATGGACGGACGGTCGGTGGGCCTGCCAGCAGGAAGCTCGCGATGCGTGACTCACCGAACGAACGAACGAACGAACGAACGAACGCGGCTAGCGCGAGCGAGAGAGCGGGCGACGCGGACGGACGAGCGAACGAACGAATAGCCGCGTGACGTATAGAGGCGAACCGCGGTTCCCTTCGGTTCGGTCGCGCGTTCGCGAGCAAGCAACGAACGCGCTCGCGTTCGCCCCTCGGGCATCTCCCCCTCGCGCCCTCCTCTATCCGCCGATTTCCCCCTTTGGACGCCCGCTGCTCCGAGGGAGAAGGAAGGCCCCCTCGGCCGCCTCTCCTCTACCCCTCGCGACCACCACGGCCGCCGCCGCCGCCGCCGCCGCCGCCGCCGCCGCCGCCGCCGCCGCCGTTGTCGTCCCCCTCGCGCGTCCCCTTTCCCTGCGTCTCTCGCCGCGGCTTGGGTTCCGTCTAGCTTCTAGTACCCACGTCGCGGAGCCTTTGTCCTCTGCCATCACCTCGCGTTATTTCGCGCTCTCTCGCGCGCGCACGCGCGCGCGCGCGCGCGTGTGTGTGTGTGCGTGCGTGTGTGCGCGCGCGCTGCATCAGACGACGACGACGACGACGAGCTCTTGGCAAGTTTGGTCGGCGCGAGTTGCGTGCATGCGCTCGGACCGCGGGCATGTACGTGTTGGTGCGCGTGCTTGAGCGGCATATGCGTCCACGGCTCGCTCTCGCACGTTCTCGCCTGCCTGCACGCGTGCACTCACGCACGCAGGCGCACAACACATGCATACGCCTGGGTACGTGCGTGCGCTCGGGTAATCGCGCGCGCGCGGGGTAGTCGCATCGCTAACTGCTTGCGAGCGAGGAGGAATTAGCGAGTGTTACGGGGCGAAGGAGAGCCGCCGCCGTTGCCGTCGCCGTGGCGGCGGCGGCGGCGGCGGCGGCGGCGGCGGCGACGGCGACGGCTCGTTACGTTCCGTTCGCTCTCTCGGGTTGCTTGGCCGCGCGACGAACGCGATGGTGAGGAACGCGTGCATGTTACGTGTACAAAATCGCCTCGTAAAACGTTTTCGACACATTTTCTCATGAGATTGCGGCCACTTTGGGCCGCGTTGTCGCAATTGCGAACCACTGGCCACAGACTTGCGTGGTAATCGGCTAGGAGCCGTAATGACACGGTGTTAATGCCGTGCCCTTTTTCTTGCACTCTTATCTGTGACAGACGAGAGTGTAATAAATATACTCGAATGTTTCCTCAATCCGTCGCACTTGTAAGTTTTTACAATGGACAGGTATCTTGTTCGAAAGAGGGCATGTCGATCAGACTCGAGTGTATCGATTAATGTAAGTCGTCTCCAAGTTGCCGAAGCATTGAAGCTGCTTATTATTACGCAAGGTTGATTGGCTGCCCTTGTTTGTACGCTGTGTGTGTGTGTTTTCATAATTTGCTGTTAAATGATTCGCGAATATTGAGCATTTTTACAGTTTGTAATATAAGAAGGTATATCGAGATGTTGCAGGTTATTTGTGTTTCTTACTGCCTATATTTGTTTATAACATTACACGTTATATTTATACTAGAAAAAATGCATCGGAAGAAGGAAATTTTGTTGAATCTTGATAAACCATTTGTTTGCATGCAACTTTTTACCAACGGTTTCATTTAAATTTAAAAAGTAATTTACCTATTTAAAGAGAAGATCTCTTTCTATCAAACAAATAATTTATTATATATAAAAGAATATGCCTTTTTTCTCTACAACTTGAAATATTGCATATTTATTATTGTTGGATATTATCTCTCTTTTTAATCAGTAATTTTCTCTCTATGTATTCACCACCCTTTCTCTTCCTTTTATTGCATCGTTCTTTGAGAGGTATATTACTCTGATAACTTAATCCCAGAAATCCACCACTACATACTCAAAACACACTTGCGCTGGCCAATTTGATCGAACATTTATTACTACTTTATCTGAAAAAATCCACTTACGACTAACAACTTGCGGGACGAGGGCTTCCTTGGTCAGATTTGAACTCGGGACTTTTGATCTCAAGAGTCAACTGTCCTTACACTATGCTATTTCGTTTTGATTGATAACTGTGTTTTCTATTGTGTACACGACCTTCTGAGTCTTGATGTGGAAATGGTTCGGCTTACATTGACTATGACAGAATGTAAATTTGTAAAATATTTTTAATTTTATAAATAATAAAGTCGAGAGAAATGGAGAAATTTTTCTAGTATTTTTCTTATTCAAATATATATCTCCTGAACAGTAATAAATTGTACTGAAAAAATATTTGCTAAAATGTCCTGTACTGAAAAAAGAAAAAAAAAAACTGAATAAAACCGACGAATTCAGATTTTATAAATTTATTTATTATGTTTTAGTAAATATTAATTGTAAATACTGAATTAGAGATTGAAATAAATAGCTCAATAGAGAAAGTGTGATTCTCTACTTTTCATACTTTTGTCTTTATACTATAGCATTTAATGGGGAATAAAAATGTAATAAAGAGATGCAAACGTTTTTTAGCTCATCGTCCGTCGCGAGTTCTGACGTCGAGAGATGACATGTATATCGGCACTTTTGACTCCTGTCATAACCGTTTATTGCGCATACGCATCAGCAGTGGCTCGCAATTGCGACAACTTGAAGCGCTGCAACTTTATTCGGTACTGGCGTGCAAACTGTTTCGTGGCCAAGCACATACACAGGTACTGTTTCAGTACCTGTAAATTTGGCAGCAATTTTGCCAGTCAATTTGTGAAGGTTGTATCACTTTGCGAGTGATTCACAACACGTGGCACTCATCGGCTGTCATATCGCGTGACAAGATGGAGAAAGATCCGAATGTGCATGTGTGTGTGTGTGTGTGAACTTTTAACGAAAAATTTACCTTAATATATGATATAAATTTATAGAAAAAAAAAATAATAAATAAATAAATAAAAGGATCATCTTATCTCGTGATAATCGTGAAAGTTTCGCAATCTGAGCGACTGCTGCGTGCAAGTTTGTCGGCAAAAGTCCACAATCGTGGACATTTCAGTGTGCAGTTTGCAACAGCATCGGAGAAAACACTAACCTAAACTAATCCGAAACGACTTGCAGCTCGTATCTTCACTAGAGAGAATCGTTCGTTTCCAGGTATCGCCAACTGATACTGGATCCTCATGCTCCGCAGCGGGATTGACACGCTCGTTTGTCAGCAACGTCTTGTCCTTGTGAAACACGATCAACGAACGACGTCCATTACGCGGCTTTGTTTGCGATCCTTTCGGCGAACTCGGTCAGCCAAGTTCACGGCGGACCGTGGCGGCGAGTTGCGCCGCGAATTTGGGACGAGATCAGCCGGCCCCGTAATTTTCCGTAATTTCGTGCGAATTATGCACGTCCACGATCCTCGGCGTACGCGGACGAACGCGGCCGCGCGTGTTTCCTCTGTTTCCATGAGGAACGATCGAGAAACGGTCAGCAGTCCCTTCCGGGCTTTGACGAAGATACCTTTGATGATTTATTTCGTCGGAAACGCGACATTCCTTTTCCTTTCACGCAGCTTCAACGTTCCATCGGTTCGTTACTCTCGTGGCCCACAAAGAATTCGAGATTCGTCCATGTGGGCAGCGCGAAGGATACCGGGGAGCAAAGAGCAAGGCGAGAGAGAGAGAGAGAGAGAGAGAGAGGGGAGATTGATCTCTCGCGTTCGATCAATCCTGAATAATTCGTCGAAGCGCGCGCGGTCCCAGAAATGAGTTACGCGGCGATAGCAGCCGTAATCCATTTGCGTTATCCGGCCGGAGGAAAGTTCTAATTAGCCGTGCGCCAATTGAAATCGTAAGAGGCATTAGTCGACCGCAGTTAGCGGGCGCAGTCGTAGCGCGGCGTATTAATTGACATTAATTGAGTCCGAGACGGCATCAATACGGCTCTCGCATATACTGTCCCCGCGTGCGAACGTGTCTTTCGGTCGCGATGCTTCCAGATCAACTTTCGGCCAGATCAACATTCCCCTCATTCCGCAGGAAGGAAGGAAGGAAGGAAGGTTTCAGGTGCTGCGTGTCTCTCCCTGAACTCTCAAGTTCCCCGCGCTCTAGCATTTTCTCGAGAATTTTGCACTTTCACAGGTGAATTTTATTAAAATCAGAGAAGCATACACACACACACACACACACATACGTACGAGTGCAATTAAAAGGGAGAAGAGTTTGCTCTGGTCAGAATTTCCTATTTTTGGGCGTTTCTCGGCTTCAAATATTCACATTCTCCATCATGAGTGAATAAACTCAAGCAATGTACTATTTATTTGGAATAAATTTTTCTGCAACTTTTGTGTGTGATATAACTCATGTGGTAAAAATATGACCTTACATTGTTGGTTGTCGGGTCAAAAAGATCGATTTTTGTTGTTTTTTACATATTTCGAAAGATAGTGATCTTAAAAATGTATCCTTCAGATATTATGTCAAAAAACTCGAACAATTTTTAAAGTTAAAAATTTCGGGTGTATATATTTGCATTTGTGCGTAACATGGTAAAAAGAATGATCGTTGAATTTAGTTAGTGTACGCTCAGCGTACTGGCTCTCTTGATCTCTGTTTCGGAAAAACGTGCATAGTGCAGCAAGAAATGAATAAAAAAATCATCAAACAATAATTCTTAAAACAACGACAGTAACGGGTTGGACACGATTGGATCGCAAGCAAAATTATTTGCCAAGTATCGCACCACTCTGGCTGAGAGAGTGTTCGCTCCCGAAGCAAACCGAAATGGCACGAAAAGACCAAGAAGTGGCGTTACAGAACAAGCTTTTCACGAAGAACAGGAGGGTTTGTTGGGGTATGGCCCTAGAATAGCTGATTAACACCAAACAATTGTAAGTATTTAAACTTTTATAGTCCACTGTACTTGAATCTTTAAACGCGTTTTTCTCGAAACAACATTCTTCCACCAACATTTGACCACGATATCTCGAAAACGGATAGTCCGATTGACTTCAAATTTGCAGAGAGTACAAAACACAAGTCTCTTTCTGGTGTGAACTAAAATTATTTTATTACAGCTTGTACTTTTGTCGTTATTGTAAAGAGTATGACCAATTTTTGCCGGAAAATCGATATTTATTCTTCAGAACGATATTTCTTTAACCGCTAATCTTTCTCGTCTCGCTTTATTTCATACCATAGCCACATGTGTGAAGTTTTTTTGTTTCAGATCAACAAGACAAGTTAGGGGCCGGAGACAAGTTGAGGATGGTCACCATCGAGAGAAAACTTTTCTGAGGCGACTCTCGCGACGAGCAATTTTTTAATACATTTTTCTTGTAAAAATCATAAATGTAGTAAAATGTTGGGGGAACAAGATACTGTATAAATTCAATATCGATAGAGTTGATACGGTCGAAGAAAAGGATATTCCGGAAAAACCTTCTATTTCTTCTGAGCGTTGCAAGGCAAATGTACCCTTAATTATACAGACAGAATTATATATTGTTATATTTCCTGACTTTATCCAAGCGAATGTCTCATTCGCGATTGGAACAAATTTGATCTTGGGACAGTGAAGTCCCAAGGGATCGTGAGATACTTTTTCTTCAATTTCGAGAATTGAGAACACTCACTCGACGATTAAAAGAGGAAAATTCACTCTCAGTCGAATTTAAATAACGCGGCCGTTGTTCTACTTTTGGAGGAAAAGTTTCCAGGAAAAAGCTGCAGAAATTTAGGGGATAATTTTCTAGCTATTCTAGCTAGCACGGACTTGGCGTACGTTAGCCGTCGCGCGATGATACGGCAAGTAGTCGTGCAGCGATTATGAGCGTGCCGAGTGAAGAGGTAAAATTTGACGAACGATAAGCCGCTTAGTCCTGAATGGTCAAACAGCCGTGTAGCTAAGTGGGTTCTGGTCAACGGTGCATTAAGCGTGCAACATTTAGATAGAATTAAGACTAGCCTCGAAACGTCCTCATTCCGCATCTGCGAATGCCGAAATAAGTATACTTGACGACTCATGTCGATCATTATAGTAATGCCCCCAAACCCTTCTCCCGTCTTTCCGCGATTTCATCTCGCAAGAGCGTCTTTCATGCGGAAAATGTGCTAAAGAGATCCCAGAGACATTCGATCGAGTATACTTGTGCTTCGCGGGCGTCGATGTCATTCCGAGCTGAGGAGAAACAACCTGCGACAGTCGACAATTATTGCCTTATTAAGCGTGTAATTTACTAAATGCGACTTGAGCTAACAAATCTCACGGCGATCGATAGCTGGAATACGCGCGCGCGCGCGGGATTGAAATGCCGGCGATTCTCGCCTCAGCGCGGCGGTTGCGGGATGCCTCGAAACGGCGCGCGAGAAACTCGCGCGTCCTTTCGTTCATGTGCAGTCACGCGACTTGGTTTCTCTCTCTCTCTCTCTCTCTCTCTCTCTCTTTCTCGTCTCGATATGTGTTAACAGTAAGGTTAAGCCGCGACGCCCTCGCCGATCCCCTCGCTTGCGAAATCTATATGACGGTACGTGAAAAAAAAAAGCGCGGCTTGTGTGGCCATCGCGACGCGACATGCCTGATGGTCGCTCTCGACTCTCCGCGTCATGCGCCAGTGACGTAATCGCGGTTAGCGGCAGACGCGAGATTACGCGGGGTTCCGCTTGCAATTTCTATTCGTCGCGCATTGACGTACTCGTACGCCGTGCTCGAGCCGGCTGCTGCGAGTTCATCGGTGTCATTTCGGACTGGCCCGCACTGAAACCGTCAAATGGTCGAGTCAATCTCTCAAAGTATCGGCGACAATCGGCTAAAATTTTTACGTCGGACGTCGGACCTACGAGAGATATCGTTTCCTCAGAGTGAAACTCATCGTTGCTCGGTTTGACGAAAAATTCGACACCACAATCCAAAATTTGAAAAAGTTGAAAAAATAACGAGTCTCGTTACGATTTCTGGACTGCCTGAGATTGTGGAGCAGGCACAGATACAGATCGTTACGATACACCACTGCCATTACGATGTCAAATGACGACATTCAAGGGCAGTCTACACGCAGTCTGTGAATTAAGAAATGCTCAAGTTTGAAATCCAGTCATTGTCGCGCATCTAAAAATTCCGCGCGTCCGCGCGCGCTGCTGAGCTCTCGAAATTCGCTCGTTAGCGCCGTCGGGCGATGGAGACTTTGCGGATAGAAAAGGATAATCGCGCCCGCGATGCACGCTGTCGCTGTATCGTGCCGTACCGCGACACGGCCTCATCGTGTGACGTCACGCGAAAGGGGCGAATTTGCAAGTCTGGCTGCGCCGCCGCGCCCGCGCGCGCGCGCGCGCGGCATCTGTCGACTTTCTTAACTGCACTTTCTCACGTCCCGTAACGCGAATAACGGAATTCACGAAATATCGTGATGAAGCGTATCTTTCGGGACAAATGACACAATGCGGCACTTTTCAAATCCCACGCGATAATAATAGGAAGAGTATTCGCAAAATTGTCGCGGACAAAGAAACACTAGAAGACTCCCGAGAAAACTCTTTCTTTCGTGTTCAATGCCCTAAACATTTTCCGGGTCGTAATGTCATGATTATTTTGAAGGCGAATTTCTACAATAATGACCAGAGCTTTATATCCGATAATTTAATCTTTGACTCGTCTATAGGTCTCCTTAGACCTCCCGCTGGTAGTTCTAGAGCTAATTGACACCCATTGTATATTCTTCTCTTCTCCATCCTTGTTCCTTTTTTTCTTTCCAATTTAGGTTCCAACTACCTGCATCCCTGCATCCTCATTCGTCATTTCGTTCGTTTTTGCAAACGGAAAAGCAACTCTGCGAGGCCCATCGTACTGTCATTGGTGGATATTCTTGAAGGATTTCGTACAGCGCGGTGGTAGGCTGCGCTAATCCGAGGTTGGTCTATTCGACGTTTCTGTTTCTGTCCATCCGAGGGACCTCGGCGAGAGACCTCGGAAAGGCGATACAATAATAGCGAAAATATAAATTGTTAGATCAATTGTTAGACACCCTGTATATAGTAGGTGCGTACAGTGCGTACTCACGACATTGAGGGAGGACTTGGTTGATTTTTTCCCACCGAGTTTCGCGATGCGAGTTTGGCGCGGATGCAGAAATAGCGACGAGGGAGAATGCCTTTCTTCTTTCGCTTCGCCTCACGAAGCTCATTCGATCGAGACGCGTCCTGATTAACGAAATTAAAGCCAACGGACCAAACTGACGGCGCGCTGAATAGAGAGGTTGCCACTGCCTCGCCTATGCATGCGCACGGTATACGAAGTGTTCGCTTTATATATCGGGCGGGTTTGTCGATAGAGCGATAATCGCGAAAGATTCGGCCAGAACTGTCCGAGGAAAATAAATGGGACCTCGTCGAAGCCGGAAACCGGCGGAAACGCGCCGGGAAATTTCCGTGCACCAACTATCGTTTGATTTATTGCAGACTCGTATAAAAAAAGGAATTGATGCGTGTACGTTTCAGTCGTGCAAATCACCAACAACAAGTTACTTGTCGGCAAAAGTTACGAAAATTAGTCTATAATCGGCAAGAAGAGAATAGTAGTATGTCGATAAGAGTCGCTTAAAGTAATATAATATTTCAGTTCAGAGCGCCAGATCCGCTCAGTCGTGAAAACGAAATAAAACAAAAAAATGAAGCGGGAGGGAAGTTGCAGAAGAAATATTACGCATGTTGAGGATGTAATCGTCCCGGCCGTTTTTTTCAGTGCCAAAAGGAAAAAGAAGGGATGAAAGCGACATCACGATAGAATTTCTAGGACGACCTCAGCATTGGCGTGAAACTATTTTTAGTCAGTAATCAGTCTTAAAGTGACACAATTTGAAAAAGTTACAAGCGGGAATATCTTGAGAGATGGAGTGAGTGCACGCGCGACTCGCAATGTGCGCTCTCTGCTCCTGGTTTTCCGCGATGCGCCGCGGTCGCGGAGATTAATATTTCGCGATATTTCCTCGACGTAGGACGGTACCGTCCTGAGAAGGAGGGAGGGAGAGAGAGAGAGAGAGAGATAGAGATAGATGGATAGAGAGAGAGAGAGAGAGAGAGAGAGAGAGAGAGAGCCGTGCGGTCGATAATTTCGCGAAACGCAAGGCGAGACGCGCTCTCGTCGCGCTGCGTGCCGAAAGAAAAGAAAGAACGGCGCGGACGCGCTGAAGAAACTTTAATTCGCGCGCGGACGCACTCAATAACGCGTATCAAAACCTCCTCCTCGTCTCGCCGTCGAGTCTTTCCAACAGCGGACTCGTCGTTTCGTCCGTCTCTCTCTCTCTCTCTCTCTCTCTCTCTCTCTCTCTCTCTCTCTCTCTCTCTCTCTCTCACTCTCTCTCTCTCACTCTCCTCCTCGCGTTCTCTTCCTTCTCTCTTTTTCTCCGCCCTACCGTCCGCTCTCCTCTCCTCTCTTCTCTTCTCCTCATTCCACTTCCTCCTCCTCCACCTCCTCGCTATCGGCAGTTTTTATCACGCACCGAAGGCACGGTGCTCGCCTCCATTATACCCACATCCATTCTACCGTGGCCCCGCTGGAAAAATCTGGCATCGGGTCTCTCTCGTCGGAACGGACGAAGCCTCCCTCTCGCCCCCTCTCGCCGCCGCTCCACCTCTTCCTGTTTCCTCGTCCTCTACTTCTTCGCCGCGTCTCTCCTGCTTCTTCCCGCGCGTGACCCTTTTCGAACTCTTTTCGCGAATGTTCGCGCTTTGGGCGATCGGAGCGACGGCGGCGGCGGCGGCGGCGGCGGCGGTGGCGACGGCGGTGGTGGTGGTGGTGGTGGTGGTGGTGGCGGGTGGCGGAAGAGAAGGAAGAAAGGAGGAGAGCGAAACGAGGAAGAGAAAGAGAAAAAGAGCGAGAGAGAGAGAGAGAGAGAGAGAGAGAGAGAGAGAGAGGAAGGGAGGGAGGGAGAAAGAGAGCGCGCGATCCCCTTTTCCGATTTTCACTCTCCGGTAGAAACAGAAGCCGCGGTTCGAATCAGTACGAGGCGACAGTAGAAATTTATTGCGGTCGCGCGGAATTGCGGGCGTGCACGAAGAGGAAGCGTTTTTCCGAATACGGATAATACGCGTCTCTCGAGCGCGGCGTTTCGGAAAGAGGCCATTTTGTCGTTTCTCACCAGAGCGTAAGAGAGACAGAGGTAGAGAGGGAGAGCGAGAGAGAGAGAGAGACGGAGGTGTAAAGAGAGAAAAAGGTAGTCCGGCGGACAAACGCATCGGTATACGGCAATACGGGCGAAAACGCGAAAACGTCACGACGCCGAATTAATCGCGACTCGAATCAGCGACGTCGATCCCTCGACGTGAAACTCCGTACGATACGATTGATATTCGTGGCGTTCCGTGACGCGAGATTATCGTGTTCATTTTTCGCGAGCGACGACGATATCTCTCTCTCT